GGACGTCACACACCAGGCAGAGGGGGGTTCCTCAGAGCGAGGTGTGTGTGTGTGTGTGTGTGTGTGTGTGTGTGTGTGTGTGTGTGTGTGTGAGAATGGTCTGACGTCAGAATAAGTGATGAGCAGCCTGAAGCTGCAGTCAGTCTGCCCCCTGGTGGAGCTGCAGAGGTACTGCCACACACCTGGACCAGCAGGTCTGGACTGACCGGGTCTGGATTGGTTCAAGACTCTGATGGTTCTGATCCAAACACAGAGACATGTGGTTCAGTCTGTCACAGTCCAGCTGACAGACCATCAGGGGTTAGAGAGTCTCAGCTGGACTCTGGGTCTGGTTCTGGATCCAGTTAGCTGACAGGTGGTCCTGCAGCGCCTCCTGCTGGACAAACAGCTGCAGACACGCAGAAATGAAGTTCTTATATCTTTTAAACTCTTACTGTAATTATTGGATTTGRCCTGTTAATAATTAACCTTCAGGAATTATTTATATTTTAAACATGGTTTTAAATTATTGTGCAGAATTAAAAAGATGACATTTCTGTGTTTCGTCTTTATTATTTATTTTTTCTGTATTAATTATATGAGAGTTTACTTTTAACATTTTAATTTTATCATTATCTTCATGTATAAACATTATACAGTATTCTTATTTTTATAAATAACTTTGTTTTTACAAACTGATTTAATTTTATCACATAAATAATGTTTTCTGTTCTGTGTATTTTGGTCTCTGTCTGCAGACGTCCATCGGTCGGATGTACGAGGCCCAGAAGACGGTTGTGGAGTAAAAACAGCTGAGATGGGCTCTGCTGTCGCTGTGGGCTGCTTCCTGTGCAGCAGGTGCAGCAGGTGCAGCAGGTGCAATGCATTGTGGGAGAAGTGGACTGAGAGCAGGGGGTGTGAGCTTTGTTTCCTGCAGGGTTCAGTTAGTCTCTCCAGGAGCTGAACTCGTCTGCAGTTTGACCTGAAGTCAGTCAGATCCAAACATTTCACAGGTTTAGATCAGTTTCATTTCATCCGTTTAACTTTACAGATTTTTATTTYTAATGWTTCACATCATTATTTATCAGTCAGCAGAGTTCAGCTGGTTTCCTGCAGAACAGCTGAACACATCTGTATGTTGTGTGGGACAGATGAGACGGGGGGGACAGGTGGGACAGATGAGACGGGGGGGACAGGTGGGACAGATGAGACGGGGGGGACAGGTGGGACAGATGAGACGGGGGGAAACTGATTACATTTAAGCTGAACTTTGAGGAAGTTTTCCTGTAAATATAAACAGTCTGCCTTCAGGCTCCTCCCCTTCCTCTCTGCTGTGCTACAACCATTTAGGCCCCGCCCACTCCCTCTATGTGGGAGGAGCCTGAGCTTCAGAAGTTTTATTTTTACTCAGGATACAAAAGTTTTTTTGTGTGTGTTTTCTGTGAGTTTTCCATCCTGTCAAATCCTAAAAATAAAAACTTAACGGAGATCTAGACTTTTTATATTTTGTTTAATTTAGATGTTTTTATGTTTCTGTCACTGTTTGTTGTTGAGGTTGTGTTTTTAATATGAAGTCTGTTTTCCAGTAATTAGTCAGGGGTCCCTCACACCTGTGTGAACCTCAGCTCATCAGAATCCAGATGAAATATAATGGACATGCTGATGTCTAATTCCTGGAGCTTGAAGCTTTTTTTGTTTAGGATGTGTCTAATTCCTGGAGCTTTTTGGTTTAGGACGTGTCTAACTCCTGGAGTTTGGGTCAGACTCTGTAGTTTGTGTGGTGGTTTGTCGTCCGGTTGTGTTTTCCTCTGCACAGCGGCTGATCTGAGCTCAGGTCTGGGTCCGGATCTGGGTCTGGTGGCGGACAGGGACTGTGAAGCGGGTCGATGACCCCTCCTCCAGTTTCTATTGATAGACCCGTCTGTTGGTTTAGGAACAAACACTCAGACTCAGGTGTTAAAGATCATGTTGCTCAACAGCTGATTGTTGTTTCAACACATGAACACACACACAGACACACACACAGACTCACACACGTGCTCAGTTCAGGTGGTGGATCTGGAGGACTTCAGACTCAGTTCTGACCCAGATAAAAGGATCAAATCTAAATGTTGAAGCTGAAAACAGCAGGTTTTGTGTTTGTTTTAATTAAAGATGATGAAACTTGAACATTTGGATCTGTTTGATCAGGTTCTGACCCAGTTTACTCCAGAACAGGAAAATGTTCAGAACCTCAGCTGGATCAAGAGTCCTGCTGCAGGCCCGCGGGTCAGAACCAGGAGTACAGCACGGAGCTCTGACTGTCGGCCATCTTTAACTGTGATTTTTGTTGCAACAACAAACATCCAGAATCAATAAGTTCTGTTGGTTCTGAGTCCAAATCATTTTATTTCCATGTAAATAAATCAATGATCCAATGTAAAGTCATGATGGCCGACGGTCCGGTTCTGTTCAGACCTGCAGCTCCTGCAGCAGGTTCTGGAACTTTTCTAAACGTTTGTAACGTTTGACCTGCTGCTTCTCTGTTGACACAACAAACACTGAGGTCAGCTCCTCTGGACTCTGGACCTGGAGACACCAGGACCAACAGAGTCCTGCAGGGTCAAAGACCCGGCTGACACTGAGCCTTACTGTTGACCCCAGGTCCATCAGAGACCCAGAACCTCCTGGTTCTGACAGTAGCATTCGGCTCTTTGGTCTCAGCTTTAGCTCATTTTATTTACCTGCAGCTGAATGTGCTTCTTCTGCAAGAAGTCTGAAAGTTAAAAGTAGCCGAAGACCGACTGAAAACTACAAGTGACAAAACAATAGCTAAAACCTAAAAGTAGCCAAAAGCTAGCTAGAAGTTGAATGTAGCAATAAGCTAGCTCATAGCTAAAATTAGCAAACTGCTAGTTAAAATATTTTARTGAAGACTAGTTAACTAAAAGAGGCTAGCTAATAGCTAATGTAGCAAAGGCTAGCTATAGGTTAGCTTGAAGTTAAAAGTAGCAAAAAAGCTGAAATCTGAAAGTAGCTAAAGGCTAGCCGAAATCTGAAAGTAGCAAAAGACTAGCTGAAATCTGAAAGTAGCTAAAGACTAGCTGAAATCTGAAAGAAGCAAAAGACTAGCTGAAATTTGAAAGTTGCAAAAGGCTAGCTGAAATCTGAAAGTAGCTAAAGACTAGCTGAAATCTGAAAGTAGCTAAAGACTAGCTGAAATCTGAAAGTAGCTAAAGACTAGCTGAAATCTGAAATAAGCAAAAGGCTAGCTGAAATCTGAAAGTAGCAAAAGGCTAGCTGAAATTTGAAAGTTGCAAAAGGCTAGCTGAAATTTGAAAGTTGCAAAAGGCTAGCTGAAATTTGAAAGTAGCTAAAGACTAGCTGAAATCTGAAAGTAGCTAAAGTCTAGCTGAAATCTGAAAGTAGCTAAAGACTAGCTGAAATCTGAAAGTAGCTAAAGGCTAGCTGAAATCTGAAAGTAGCTAAAGGCTAGCTGAAATCTGAAAGTAGCTAAAGGCTTGCCGAAATCTGAAAGTAGCAAACGGCTAGCTGAAATCTGAAAGTAGCAAAAGGCTAGCTGAAATCTGAAAGTAGCTAAAGGCTAGCCAAACTGGACAAAACCCTAGCTTAAAGCTAAAAGCAGATTTTAACTGAATGTTTAGATCTTAAATAAACAGCAGCCRTCGCCTGAATGAGCCGAAGGTTTTGATGTAAGAACAGCTAAAATGTCAGGAAGTCAGCAGCGGTTGTGAAGTGCTGACTCAGCACTCAGACACACATCAGTTAATAAAAGTTGTTTCTGACCTCAGAGGTTATTTTACTGAATCTGKGACGAGTTCTGCAGCAGTTTGAGCTCCAGCATGGAGGAGAAACATTTTAGCTGCTGTTTGTTTTGGATKCGTCTGAACAAAGTAAACATTACCACCTCAGTCTCTGGATCCAGAACTTTATTTGCAGCAGGTCCAGGTGCCGGACGTGAAACATCAGCGTAATATTTCATCATTTTTTAAATTTGTGTAACAAGAAAACAAATATTTGATTAGAAACAAACAAAAAAATCATTTTAGGTCACAAAAAGCAAAGAGCTTCAGTTCCTCAACCAGAACAAAACGTGTTTTCAGTCCGACCCAAAGTTTCATGAAGCCAAGAAACACAAACTACTGAACTCTGAAAATCTGCTGACTCATCGTTCTCCAACCCAGACCAGCCTGATGGTTCTGACACCTAGTGGCAAAACCTTTTAAACTTTCACCTGTTCCTCAACTGTAGGTTTAAACAATTCAACCAAACAACCAATCAGAGCAGAGAAATGTCCTTCAGGTAGCTCCGCCCCTTTGTGGAAAAAACAAAGACTGAAGTGTTGAAATGGAAATAGTTTTATTCACTTTTATTTACAGAAGAGATGTTTTCTCCCAAAAAGGGGCGGGGTTCACCCAAAAAGGGGCGGAGYTTCACAGTTATTTGTGTGTGTTAGCAATGAAGCTAATAAATGTTAAGACAAGCTGTTAGCAACATGTTAGCTAACAGAAGCCGAAAGAGATTTCTTTAGATGAAACAAGGCGGCCATCTTGGATTCAGATCAAAAAACAAAAACCTCTAGTTTCAAATTCAATAAAACCTCGTTTTTACCCGAGTTTAGTACGGGTTAAATCTTGTTCCAACAGGAAGTGAATCTGAATTGTTCAGATTGAATCTGGACGTGTGGAATTTCAAATTTAATTCATTGGTTTGAAAATAAATTTCACTAAATTGAAACTGAATTTAAAGTTTTGTATCTGAATTAATTTWCTTTGAAACTGTATTTTGGTTTATTAAAAATTCAGTTTGACTACTTTCACTTTCAGTTCCATAATTCAGATGTTTGTGTCACATCCTGGTCCTTGAGAAAGCCAGGCAGAGTAATCAAACACAGATCCACAGATTTACATCATGGATCACATGTTGATCAGATGCTGCTGCTGACTGATCCATGATGTCATCATGTAAATGTAACATTTTCTACATATAGGTCAAATTAATCACTGCARTAAAATAACTTTGTGTGTTTTTGTCACTTTTACAGTGGATTGCATCAACTCTTGTTACATCCAGAAGGGAAACTTCACCAAAGTGAAACACAAATCTGTGGATCTGTGTTTGATTACTCTGCCTGGCTTTCTCAAGGACCAGGATGTGACACAAAMATCTGAATTATGGAACTGAAAGTGAAAGTAGTCAAACTGAACTTTTAATAAACCAAAATACAGTTTCAAAGAAAATTAATTCAGATTCAAAACTTTAAATTCAGTTTTTAATTTAGTGAAATTTATTTTCAAACCAATGAATTCAGATTCGGTTCCTGTTGACCCAGGACTGGTCCCAGTTTGTCCCTTCAGAGACCCTGTAGTTTGTGGGGGGTTAAAGATTAAAGATTAAAAACAGTTAAAAATCTTTAATTGATCAATTTATTTTTTAATGATCAGGGACAGGAACTCTGGGTGGACCCAGACCTTGGTTCTGGTCCATGGATCCAAAAAGTCAAGCCGGACCCATTAGTTCTGTTCCTCCTGGGCTCTGGGGGTTCTGTTGGTCTCAGGTGGGTCTTGGGGGTTCAGGTGTGGTTCCGGGTTCTCAGGTGGCGCTGAAAGCGTTGCTGATGAAGGTCCGGTCCGGCAGGCTCTGGTACCGGAGCGTGTAGTTCTGGCCCAGGTTGTTGTCCCAGAACTCGCCCTGGTCGGACCTGAGGAACACGGCGAAGTCCACCGCAGAGCTGGGGTCCAGGAAGGGCGGGGTGTAGACCGTGAACCCGAACCGGTCCCCCTCAGAACCCGCCGGCTCCTCTCCCGGGACCGGGAGCGCCTGCGCGTCCACGTGCGACATCCAGCTGTTGAGGGAGTACCGAACCCCGACCTCCCGGACCCCGAGGCCCCCCAGGACCCGGATCTGACCCCGGACCTCGAACTGCGTGATGTGGACCTTCTCCAGGCAGACCCGCAGGTCCTGGACCCGCCGGTCCGAGTCCCGCAGCTCCGGGAAGCAGGCCACCAGGCGGTCCGTGTCCAGAGCCGACCTGAAGTTCTGGCCCAGCTGGTCCAGGTCCTGCTGCTGGGGCGGGAAGCTCCGGTGCCGGGACAGGACCTTGGAGGGGATCTGCGGCTCCTCCTGGGCGCTGAAGTGCTTCACGCTGGYCAGGGTCAGACCCAGAGAGTCCGCGAACTTGACCCGCTTCCTGCCGGACTCCGGGTCCCCCTCCAGGAGCGCGGCCGGGTAGGCCGGCAGGGACCGGGCCCTCCTCCGGTCCCGCATGAACCTCTCCAGGTGGGACGCGTCCAGCTCGTCGTCCAGGTCCCCCTCCTCTTCATCATCTTCATCCTCCAGGCCGTTCTGCACGGACCGGACCGGACCCGGGTCCTCTCCGGTCCAGATCAGAGGAGGTGAGCGGGACATGAGTCAGCTGAGTCCTGCAGAGACCCGGAGCGGGTCTGCTTCTATAGGGAGTCCCCCCACCCTCAGGGAGGACACACACAGAGACACACACACACAGAGGCACACACAGAGACACACACAGACACACACACACACACACACACACACACACACACACACACACACAGAC